AGCATGAGTTTATGGGATATGCAGCATAAATACCAAATTTCTCTTGAAAACTGAACAGTACATGACACATCATCTTGCAAGGGGAAAACTGAGGCACCCCTGTGACCATCACCATGTCCAACCACGTGTATCCTCAGGATTTTAATATGATTCTCCAAGCTGGCTTTTTATTTATGATGCCAGTCGGACAGTAGCATAACTATCTGGGTGAAGGTTAGGGCAACGTGCTGTGATGCAAAGTTGGGGAATTACCTCCAGGAAACTCAAGGGGTCCATCGGGTGGCCCATACACTTAGGGCCAACCGATGGCCATCTTTGATAAGGGTCACGGTCAGGCCCCGTAGCCCTTAAACAGTGTGACCCTTGATTAGTGAAGCTGCGGTGTTGGGAATAAGTGAGAGTAAGTCATTTCCTCCCAGCTTACCAACAAGTCATAAGGTAGAGTGAGAGAGGGGAGGACAATAGAGAGGAGGGAAAGCCTGGACCAGTATCCTATCAGACTGTCGCTGGATCTCAGGAAGCCACCCTCCTAAAAGGTATGGAAGCAGGTGGATTGCTAAAAAGCTGTATTGTATATGTGTATATTATATTTGTGTGTGTGTGTTATCCATTTGTGTATGTGTCAGTGTGTGAGTGTATGTGTCAGTGTGTGTATCTGTGTGTGTCAGAGTGTCTATCTGTGTGTGTTTCAGTGTGTATGTGCAGTAAAGTGTATGTGCATACATCCCAGCAATCCAACGCCAACTCTACATACAAACTCATTCAAACACAAACACTAAAGGCAAGTACACCACTGCTTCCAAATAGCAACATTAAATACAAACATACAGCTGCATTTAAATGCCAACATTACACACAAATACATGCCTACTTTCCATCACACAAAACATGCTCAAATTTGTCACCAGTTATTTTTTTCTAATGTTTATTCTTAAAATAACGTAATGCTCCTGATAAACAAATACTATAGTTTTTACATGTGTTTAATTAGCCTTACAACCAAAGGGACAGGGTGAAATAGGGGTGTTGTACATGGAAGGGTGCAATATTTGGTTACGCCTCTGCAGGGGGCCCCCGATGTCACCCATTGTAAGTAGTCAAACTGCTTTAGAAGTGTTTTGCTTGTTACATGGGTGTCGTCCAGGACTGGATTTCCCATAAGGCAGCATAGGCAACTGACCACAGTTTTTAGCATGTACAATGTGCCATCTTGAGCTAAACTTGGCTGGTGGGGAAAGATAAGTATCAGAAGCCATGGCCTTTGTCTCCTCTAGTCCGGTCAGACTTAATAGCAGAGCTGCAGTAATAGTTATAGCGGGTGTAAAACTCAGTGCTGTCCCAGATCCTCCAGTGTCTGTGTGTGAGGCTGGACAGGAAGTGGAAGGGATCACTTCCTATCTGCCCACTAACAGCCTCTCACACAGAAAATGCCTTGCAGGAGGAACGGGGAAACCTCTGAGTGATACACACTGTATGACAGCCCCTGCAGCTATATTATTATCAGTCTGACTGATCTATAGAATACATAGCAGGGTGAGTATTTTATAAATAAAACTTCAAACTCCAGTACTAAAAGCCTAAACCTCAAAATGAACCCTTTACCTTAATCCTATGTTTAACTCCTATTAAAAACTAATCACCCCCTGTACCCCAATACGAAATGTGTCCCAACTCTAAAACCAACTATATAATCCTAAACAGCCTATTTACTATTTTAACTCTACTCAAGCTTAACTCTAAACACCCTATGTAATCTAACTCTAATATTAACCCCTCTCTAACCGTAAACCTCTCTTTACCATAACCACTTTATCTATTTTTTTTATTTTTTACTTTAACATAGAACACTATAGGGTCAGGAACACAAACATATATTCCTGACCCTATAGTGTTAAAACCACCATCTAGCCCCCTCTTTCCTCCCTAAATATAGTAAAATCCTACTTGTATTCAAGTTTGCAGCTGCTGGCTCTGCCCCTGACTGACGCTACAACTGCCTGCTGACATCAGAAGTGGTGGTCTGAGCCTATCACAACACTTCCCCATAGGATTGGCTGAGACTGTCAAGGACGCAGATCAGGGGCAGAGCCAGCACGATTCAAACACAGCCCTGACCAATCTGCATCTCCTCATAGAGATTAATTAAATCAATGTATCTCTATGAGGAAAGTTCAGTGTCTCCATGCAGAGGGTGGATACACTAAATGTCAGTCACACTGTGTAGAACTGCCCCAGGAAGCTATCTGAGGAGTGGCCAGTGGAGGTATCCCTAGGTATCCCTAGGTTGTAATGTAAATTCTGGATTTTCTCTGAAAATACAGTGTTTACAGCAAAACGCCTGGAGGGAATGCTTATTGAACAAATACAATAAGCTGTGGTTATTCTGGTGACTATAGTGTTCCTTTATCATTAACCCTGTGTGCACTATACTCACAGATTCACATAATACATTACAAGCAGAGTAGAAATATACACATGCATACATTTATACATATACAATTGTCACATATGAATATGTTTTTAGATTTTTTTTTAGGCCTCTAACGTTCAGTAAATAAATTAATTATA